CAGTAACTAAAATTAAAGACAGGACAAAGAAATAGGCAAGAGTTCCATTGCGCAACTCCACCAGAGAAAACAGACGAAAAGCCGAAGAAATACCGGGGTATAGCGTTTTCAAATTATTACTGTATCACACCTGTACATGCATATACTTTGTTTACACATTTTAATGTTTGATCATATCACAGTAATTAAGATATTTCACATTTGTAACTATAACCGTTTCGTTTAATTTAAGAATTTGATTCTAGCAATTTAAATTTTTTCTCCAAAAATTTGAACCGTTGACATTTGTATTTTTGACGTTTCAGGTTGCTCCGGGTGTTAGAGAACGATATCACTTTAAATGTTATTACTCAAAAAGTTTTAATGTAAACATGATAAAACTTCGTAATTTATCTGCCGAGAACACGCTTTATCCACCCTGAAAATTTTATAAAGATACGTTAATTTCTTCAAAAGATATGGGCTTAGTCTACGAAATTTTGGGACAACCCTCGTACGTGTCTGAGAGAGGAACGAACGACAACTCTGCAAGGGAGATTGGTGTGAGACCTAAAGAAGGACAGGTAACTCTCATTTTCACTACAATTTCAGGGGTTATATCCCCTTGAAAAGTTTAATTATGGCGGATAAACAATGCGGCATGCAGTCTGGCCATCAACAGAGTTTTGACACCCGTAATACCCGTATTCTTAAGGAATCACTGTCTTGTTAGTATAGTATGCCAGAGCATCAACGATAGTGGGAAACATGGGATAATTTGCATAACGGACGAAGCCCGTTACGCATAAATTATCCCATATTTCCCACTATCGTTGATGTCCCTGGCATACTATACTAACTAGACAGTGATTCCTTATATTTCCATTTCATAGTGAAATAAAATTGTATATTTAGACTTTAAAAATGTAGCGATTTCAATTCGATTCGTCTGACGGCAAACACAAAGGCAGCCGACGACATTTACATGCATATTTGGCCTCCTTAGCGTCAGACACAGAGACATATGCGCAAGATTTGCATGAGTATTAGGCCTCCTTACCTCCTGAACTATCGACCTGCCTAATTTACATTTCGGCAGAATTATCAAGAAATAAACTCACCTAACTTTCAAAGAGTTATCACAAATGGAAATATTTAAAATCACCTCTGTAACCTTTGTTGTGAACATCACACAGGTAAGAAAAACAAGATTTTTAATTGAAATAATTTAATAAAACATGCATATTACATGTACAGTACTCTCCTATTAGCGTCAGTTTTACACATACAATAAATAAATACAATTTATTCAAAACATGATTTTGCATGAGTGCATAATGAACCATAAAATAAATTATTTCCTGTAAGACAATTCAAATATATTTTAAATACATATTTTATACATTTTAAATGCTATAGCAATAACCCCCAATTTTTCACAGTCTTACAACTTGCTTTTTAATTTTGGAAATAACACTGTTTTAAATGTTTTACTGTAAGTGTCTTTAGAAATAACAGCTGATGTGTATCACCTGAAACTTTTCAAAGTTTATCACAAATTTTAAAAAAATTAAATTTTGAAATATTTAAAATGGCCCACCTACTTCCTGTAACCTTTGTTGTGAACATCACACAGGTGAAGCACAAAAAACAATCTTTCAAATTTTAATTGTTAAACAATGGATTTAATTTGATAGCTTATTATAATAAAACATATAACATTTTTACATGTACAGACTCTCTCGTATAAGAAATTGTCACGTTTTACACATACAATAAATAAATACAATTTATTCACATGACCACATTTTCCCCATTTACACAGTTGAAAAGAATCAGTGCATAATGAACCATAAAATAAATTATTACATGTAAGACAATTCACAAAATATATTTTAAATACAAATTTTATACATTTTAAATGCATGTACATATCATCAAGGCCCCCCCCCCCCCCCTCTTCACAGTCTTACAACTTCCTTTTTAATTTTGGATCTGTTTTAAATGTTTTACTGTAAGTGTCTTTAGATTTTTTATCATACAGCTGATATCTTTTAGATCTGTAATATTTTTTTTTTTTGAGATTTATATTTTAACAGTTTTTGTTTCATTTTTATGTAATTTTGTCTATTTTGTTGTTGTTTTAGATGATGGCCCACTCTACTTCCTTTTAAAACAGGTGCCCCAACAGTTTACAAAGTTCCAGCGTTCCCCTATTCGGTGAGTGCACAACTTATGTATTCTACTTTCAAATTTCTACTACTTGTTATACAATTTGGATTTGATTTTAGATATGTCCTATCAGATTTTTGTGTACAAGTATGATATTTGATTCTATCAAGATTATTTTGTCCTAAAGTCAAATTTATAATTTTAAAAACATTTGTCTTTTTCCGTCATGTTTAATTTAAAGTCACTAGGTAACACTGAAGATTTCCACTTATCAGCTTTTCAATTCACAACGGGAAAAGAAATAAAGTTGACAGGACTTTCCGCACTCTATCTGGTAGCAGTTTATTAGGGAACCAACCACAGTAGACATAGCACACTTCATCAAAGGTGAGTCGCCGGAGTAGTGTTTGTAGCAATTCTCGTACTGATCTGTGCTGCATCGAAGCTTTAGGTCCAAGGCAAATCTTCTCTGCATGGATTCTCTTATGGCCTTGGTTCTTCCCGGAAACATGTGACTGCTGAATGGAGCCTTAGCAGCCTGTTTTCTTCGAGAGTCAAAAAAATGACACAAGTCTTTAAGGTTTCAATCACATGTCCTTGTTTTTCAGATGCACCAGATGCAGCGGCACTGTCTCCATCACTGGTGAAATGGGATATGATTAGTGGACGGTCATCACTTAGTAACTCACCAACACAATTAGTGGCCCATCTCTTCTCATCTCCAATGGTGGTCTCAGGAGGAATGGTTGCAGTGCAGTCTTCATGTCCTGGACAGGTAACTTCCTTTCCTTTGCTTCGTACATGTAGGTGTGCGCCTTTCTTACGTAGTTTATTCCCACAAAAAACTGCAACCACATTTTACCTCTGAGTTACATTTTCACTTACGGTATAAGTCACTTGGGTCGCAGCTTGGAATGGGTTTTTTTTAATGGCACTGAAGGTGGCATTATTGTACCAAGCATCTCCTTCCATTCTGCATGATGGGGGTATCCGGAAGTCCACATTATTATTATAAGTTCTTGAATGTTCGTCCAAATTTTCTTCATACTGTTTTTATTTACATCGGTTATAATTTCCCCACCTTGTTGCAGGTCTGTTGCATGTTGGCGGCTGATGCTGGTTCAATATTTGCACCAAGAAACATGCCACGCATACCGTCTGTTGTAAGACTGATACCCAAGTGACCGACAGCCACGACCACATTCAGCTGTGCAGCTCTTCGTCCCCTGCAAGATCTTTAAGCTTTGCGGTAACTGGTAAAGTGGCTCTTCTTAAATTGGATGGAAAGGAGCCATGCCAGGCCTCTTTTTTCCTCCCCATGCCGATACCATTCCAGTAGACCATCACAGTCTGGAAACTTATGTGAGTGTTTTTTAAATGCATATTGTTCCACAATTTAGCAGTCTTTTCTGTCACTATATGCCTTACATTTTTATTAAGTACGCTTGGAAAATTTCTGCTGAAAATTTGTGATTTTGTGCAATTTGTGAGTACAAAGCATAAATTAATACCACGCGGAAAAGATACTTCCTACATTAATCATAATTTAAAGTCTTTACTTGTAGACTTTTTCTAACTTTTCAGACTTTTTCTAAGAATATGCTATTGTATGTGGTGCACATTTTTAATATTGTAATTTTTTTTTGTGTTGTTTATTTATTTTAGAGCTGCCTGTTTTTCTAAGAGAAACTCCATTCTTTGATGATCGACTGATGGAAAAGCCTCATCACCCCTACTGCTAAAGAACCCCTTGTCTTAAGGGGGATGTCCGGCCACCTTTAGTGCAGTGAGAACAAAATGTAAACATTTCTTCAAATGGCTAAAATACATTATATTTTGATCAAATTTTAAGTCCTTATGATAAAGATAGAATAAATATGCATAACTGAATGCATGTTATGTATATATAATCTATACTTTTGCAGAAAAATGTTTTTGATATGCTCTTTAGAACTGCGCAGCTACAGAATTCAGCAGAGCCTTAAAAAATCCAAAAAAATATGCAAAGTGTGCATTAATGTTCTCTCTACAAACATTTGTTGAGAAAATGTCTAAATTTTGCACTTTTAAATGATAATTTCAAGTTCAAAACAAGGTACCGTTGTCTTCAAAAAGACTGCAAAGAACCATGAAAGTAGTTCATGGATAGCAGCACGTGGTCTATTTTTAGCACAGAATTTTGTTTTCCAGACCTCTTCTTAATATGGAGGGACATAACAATCTTTAGATGTAGAAAAAAATTACAGATGCAAAATATTTCAAATAACATGAACACTTTTAAAAGAGGAAAGGTGTTATAGTGTGGCTTGAAGTAATTTATTTAGTATTATTATCGAACAGTTGTTAAATAGTGTACGTACTGATATTTAAAAAAAAAACTCTTTGATTCCAGATAAGGAAAAATGAGTACCATCAAAGTTAAAAATTAATAGTTTGTAAGTTTGCCATAGATAACTTATATTATCTATCAAAATTTTAATTATCACCAATGAAACACAAAGAAATAAGACACATATAATCGATATGAATGACCTTGTTTTAATACCTACTAGTACCAGGGGTGATCAAAAAATTCGAACTATCTCTATATCTACAAAACCACAATTCAGATTAGAAACATATAGCCAAACACAAGTTCTATAAATAGCATATGCTGAAGTTTTGCTCCTTGTTTGTGATGTCACAATCTGAAAATGACGTCATGCAGGAACTTGTGACGAAAATTCTATTTAACCATATTGTCAAAATTAAAATTTTACAAAGTAAAGAAAAAAATCAACATAATTAAATATTGTATACCATCTTTAAAATGACGTTTGGTGGTCCTCCCAACTCAGGGAAAAATTATTGGGTTCTTATTTATAGGTGAGAAAGAAATTCCTTAAAACATAATTGTTGACGGAAGAAAAAGAAAAAATATCGTGTAATGGGGTGTAAAAAAAAAATGAGTCGGGCCATTTCCAGGCAGTAGATCGGGAGAGAGGACAACCAAATATTTTTATAACAGGTGGTCTTATAAGGCTAGTACATATTCCATCACGTACTTAGTCATGTTAGTAATGCAAATTTTTTAAATCTTTTGCACTATTTTGAAAAACAAACAGGATTTTCGGGGGGGGGGGGGTCTCACTTTTTTTGCAATGATAGACATAGCATATGCAATGGACATTTCTTTGCAAACATTGTACTCGCTTCTAAATTTCAAAGAAACAACTCAATATATTTTATCAAGCTTCGTATGTTCAATGAGCGAGAGCTTACAACGTTGTCAACATAATCAGACATGATGCGTTTTTATGTCCAAACATTACTCCATACAATGTGTTGGTCATTGCAAACAATCTAGCTATTTACGTGAGGTACCTGAAGGAAATCATATAACTGCTTATTTTTTCTATCTAACTTCTAAACAAAATATACATGTGTACCAATTTTAGAATGTAATACATGTAATTACAATTTGTTTTTCATGCACCGCATATTGTTTAACATTTTCAAATTAAATGCTAAGCATCCTCCTTGCAGTGCCCCATTTGAAAATAACTTCTATCGCCACAGAAAAAAGACCCGCCGTAAACACATATGTTTAGGACATTTTTATCTTTTTTTCTTGAGTTTTAAAGAAACCAACAAATTATCAAGACTTGTTCCATGAAAAATTAAATAAAATCATGGTAATAAAAAGATATATCCGCAGCAGATATATGCACATGCCAACCACGTGCTCAGTGGAATAATTTTAAAGAGGAAACTCGAACTGTTAAACAGAGCAGTTTATCCCAATTTGCAGGAGTGGGGTTAAAATCGCGTTTTTCATTAATCAGATGATGCGATGCAACAAATAAAAGTAGTAAGTAATATAACCTAATGATTATTACTGAGTAATTTCTTGTCTTGATGTTATTATGGTCGCATTTATTCTAAAATCAATGTTATTCGAACTCTGTGTGACAGAGGAATGGCGGACGAAATAAGCACATTGCCTCAGGAAGACACCCATATGAAAAATCAAATTTTCAAGAATTATGAATAATGACAAGAAAAAAGCGAAACAAATGGTTGTAGCCATATTATCAATGAATCAAACTAACGCCATTTTCAATGCATTTATCATCTAGTAAATGCTGTAGCTGCGCAGTTCTAACATGAATAATTTCCTCCTAATTAAAACAAAAAAAACTTAATTGTTTACTAATTTTGGTCTCTAACAGTAGGTAATTAGTGCATTAGCACTTTGAGTAACTTTGGGCTCGTTTAGTGGAGTATTAAGCGCATTCTTGGTATTTCTTATTTTACACCAGACTAGATCTAATATGGCTTGTACATCCCCCTTAATCACCAGCCATTAATCAGTGATCAGTGTTTTCAAAGCTCCAATGTGTAATATTGAAGTCTCTTTTGACACCATTTTTCCCAGTCTCTGACTTTGTTTTAGAATTTAGATTCTCACTTTTTTGCTAATTAATTCCTTAAAAATCAGTTAACTTCCTGTTTCTTAGCTAATTGGAGCTCATTAATTAGTGTAAAAAATTTATTTTAGCAGATAGCAAAAACTACAATTATATTTCAGCTTTCATTTCATTCATTTTTTTCTCAATAATTCCTGTATTCAATGATCTCTGGCGATATGATTTGGGTTTCAGTATTCATAAGATTAATGTAATTGTAAGACCACGTGACCACGTATTTGTGAATATCTGATGGTCCATTGACCTAAATTCTATATTCATTATCTTAATTGATTCCTCTGAAATTATCTGTATTTTTTCTTTGCAGGAGGACTGGAAGAAAAATCCCAAAAGACTCGCCAATTAGACAACTGTCATCTTTGAATTTTTAATTCTCCTGTAATTTATTTAATCATTTATTTATTTGTTTGCTCAATAAGTGTTACATATAAATGTTATTTTGGTATTTTTTAAAATTCAGTTCATCAGGGCTTTTTGTTTTATATAGATCTATCATTTAAAAAAATCTTAGTTCATATGTTATAATAGTTATTTGAGAATTTAAGAATTTTTCTGTAAATAAAGATTTTTGTATGCAATAAGTTTTTTTTTTAAAATATATTACCTCTGCTGTCACGTGTCTTAAAATTGGGCATTTTTATTTCTAACTTTTAAGATGAGTTTTGTGAGTCCTACATCTTGATGAATTTATTAGGATCAGTGCACGACATACATTCAAGTCTTTCCTTGTGCATTAGTTAAATTTTTTTTTACAAGTTTATAGAGAATGCTTGCACTTACTCACAGGGGCCTGTAACATACTGTATTTGATTTTAGGTAATCACTATATGTATACAAAAAGAAATTACTGATATCCTTTTTTGTATATATATAGTGATTATGTAAAATCAAAAACAGTATGTTACCGGCCCCTGTGGTCTAAATACAACTTTGGGAAATTTCAGGAATTAAAAGTCATTAAAAATAAAGAAAGAACCTGTGTTTTGAAAGAGGGGTCACTGCAATTCACGAATCTCCATTATATTCAATGCTGTTTCGATTTTTAAAACTGTACATGGTGAGCGCATAAATTGTTGCCCAAATTTCTCAAAAGGAAAGAAGATGTAGAAGTTAGAGTATCGATCTGCACATAATGTTAAAGTATCAGCATATGATGAATGTTCTCTACATATGGCAGCTGAGGCGTTCCTATTCTCTTTAGAGAAGTGGACAGCTATCGCCTACATCCACGCGAATAAAGAGAATAAGGCGTTCCTTACATCGTTTACACGCAATAAACGGAAGTTAAGTTTGAGTCCGCTAAACAAAAAAAAATTATGTTTAACAAAACAGTTGAAAAAATATTGCGCTCGCTTTAAAATTTGTATCTGACACTTTTTTATACGGCGTGTATGCCCAGCTTGTTAGAACATTTCACATTTTACGTTTTTTTTTTCATGCGTAGTTTTGCTAAACATGAAAACCGACTGTCGACCTCGATCGGAAAGCAAGAAAAATAAAATGCACAGTTGCCAGTGCACATCGCACAGCACAATCGTGACCACGCTAAATTGTCTGATCCGCGCCCATTCTGGTCGGGTAGGAGACAATCTGATTAAAATCAGATCTTTGTTACGCTCCGAAATTCTGATAGTCGTTGTACAGCGACTATCAGAATTTCGGAGCGTAACAAAGATCTGATTTTAATCAGATTGGGTAGGAGAGATCTATGAGTGGACTCCGGAACGTGGCTTGAGAGGC